GGATTACAGGCATGCGCTACCACTCCCGGCTGTACTTGTAAACTTTTAAAATTGGAAAATTTATTATTTATTTCTGTGTGAGCTCTTTTAGAGCTCAAGAGCCCAGCAGCACAAAAGTAGTTTAGCATGTTTGTTTTATTTTCTTGTGAATGGACCTTATTATAGCTTAATTAAAATATTCTGACACCCTGCTGAGAACATTGTCTAAGTCAGCCAAGTAAGTACCTTTTAGGTACCATAGATTGTGTTCAGGAAGACCCTGAACAAGTTTGTTGCCCAACCTACCATCCCCATCAAGTATTCTCCCATCTTGGAGTATTTTAAACTTTTGGTCAATAAAAGCAACCACTTTTGTGGTTCCAAGATAGAAAAATTTATAGTCTGAGACTAATGGACTTTGGTTCATTTCCAAAATATTGAGGCATTAGATGGTAATCATATTTAATTGATAACAGCACTAACCTTAATACATCATTTTATATAATAGGTTATACCATATTGTCATAAATTTTTATAATATGAGTGCACCTTATGTGTTACACTTGTGTGAATGATGTAATAAAATAAATGAAGAAGCAGCTGTGCAGACCAACTCATTTACAGAGTGTATCAAACAAGCTAAATACACACACATTTGGATACCCCCAAAACCTATTGAATGAGAAATGCATATGACAAATTCAGCAGAGTCCAGAAGTACATATTAGGAGCTTAATAGATGATGATTATTGTTATAGATGAAGAGAAAAATGTGTGCTCTTATGATGATAGAGATTAGCAAGGACATTTTAAAAAGAAATGTTATTTATTTCATAGCATCTATTTATTATTTTTGCATAGTTTTATTATATTAAAATTAGCTTGCTGTCGATTAGCAAAAAATAACTAGTTATTTGTTGGGTTTGTCATCATTGTTACTGTTGCACTCCTAAGATCCTGGATGCTACATATGGACTGCCTGTAATTTCAGGTCACAGAATTAGAGGAAGAAGAAGAGTTCTGACTACCTTTTAACATCTGACATAAAGAAATTTACTTAATTTTCTTAAATATGTAATATTTCTATGTGAAAATTTCAGTTAAGAATTAAGATCCTGAGGCACACCATTTCTGGGTTCTGTCATGGTGGACCTGTGGAGCGAACTCTGCAGCTGATCTGTTCATCTCTTTCTGGGGGTGGGAGGTAAAATGATTATCCTCTGACTAAAACTGTATCCATAGTGCTGAAAACTATGTCCACCAATGCGAATGCTAATTCACCCGCATCCAGCTGAACAGATTCAAGAACAAGGGAAAAGACAGTACAGAAATGAGGCAGCAAAGAATAGAAGTGAGTGTAGAGCTAAGGAAAGCTAAGAAGGATAACCAGATGCTAAAAAGGAGGGATGTCAGCTCATTTCCTGGTCATGCTACTTCATCACTGCAGGAAAACCACAACAACCAGGGCACTGTGAGTTGGACTGTTGATGACAGGGTCAAAGGCATAAATAGCAATAATCCAGAAAGCTAGCTCCAAACTACTCAAGCTGCCAGGAAACTGCATTCTCGGGAAAAACAGCCCCCCATTGACCACATAGTCTGGATGGTTTGATTCCAAAATTTGTGTCCTTCTTGGGCAGAACTGATTGTAGTCCCATTCAGTTTGAGTCTACTTGGGCACTCAGTAATTGCTTCTGGGTCATCAGAACAGAACAAGACTGTGGTAGAGGGAGGTGCTATCCCAGCACTCATTTCTCTCTTGTCATCTCTCCGTGCTCACATCAGGGAACAAGCTGTACAAGCGCCAAGAAACATTGCAGGTGATGGTTCAGTTTTCTGAGACTAGGTTATCAAATATGGTGCAATTGACCCACTCTTGGCTCTTCTTGCAATTCCTGATATGTCATCTGTAGCATGTGGTTACTTATGTAATCTTACTTGGAAACTTTCAAACCTCTGCCACAGCAAGAATCCTGTACCCCCGTTAGATGCTGTTGGGCAAATTCTTGCTACTTTGGTTAATCTGCATCCCAGTGATCTGGAAGTAGATACTTGCTGGGCTATTTTTTACCTTACCAGTGGTCCAAATGAATATATTGAAATGGTTGTAAAAACAGTTGTTGTGGGCTACGGATTTAGCTCAATGGTTCTGGCACCTGCCTTGCAAGCATAAGGACCTGGGTTTGTTCCCTGGTACCAAACCAAATAAAAACAGGCATTGTATCCTATCTGGTGAAGCCTCTAGAATGAAATGAATTGCCAATTATGACTCATATGCTAAGAACTACAGGAAATATTATCATAGGAACAGATGAACAGACTCAGATTGTGATAGAGGCAGGAGCACTTGCTGTCTTTCCCAGCCTGCTTACCCAACCAAAAACTAATATTCAATGGAGATACCTCAAATCTCCCAGGATTTGAAGTCCCATTTGACCCAAACTATTCCCCTGCTGGGTATCTTCCCCAAAGAATTCAATGAATCATACGACAGTGGTATATGTGCACCCATGTTCATAGCAGCACAATTTGTAATAGCTAAAACTTGGAAGCACCCATTGCCCACCAACTGGAGTCTGGATAAAGAAATTTTTTTTTATAAAATGGAGTACTATTCAGCCATAAAGAATGAGAAACTAGAGACATTTATCACTGAAAGGATGCACATCGAGGCCATACTCTTAAGTGAAATAAATATGACACGTGTAAATACCAAATAATTTCTCATGTGAAAAACTGAAAGTGTAAATAAGGACTAAAAGGTTAAATAGATAATGTGAAACAGGAAGAAAAGGTACAAAAGGGAAGGGGAAATAAGAGGGGTAGGGGAAAAGCAAAAAGGGGATAGAATTAATATGAGAAAATAAAAAAAATGTAAGCAAAGTCTTTGTAGATAGGGATGGGTGGAGGGGTTGAAGGTAGGTCAGAGAAATGGGGAAAAAATAAGAACCAAGTTGGGTTATGTAAAGGTACAAATTTCCAGTGATGAATGTTATATTGTATACCTTAAATGTAACAAAAAATAATTAAAATTTTTTAAAAAAGGAAGGAAGCTACATGAATGTCAAACACCACAGCTGGCTGTCGGGACGAGATTAGAGCAAGTTGTGATTCATGGATTGGTCTCATTCCTCAACAGTGTCCTTTCTAAGGCTGACTGTAAGACACAAAAGGAAGCTGTAAGGGCTGTGATCAACTGTACCAGTGGAGAGGCAGTTGAGCAGATTGTATATCTTGTTCATTGTGGTATAATGGAACCATTGATGAATCTCTTAACTGCGACAGATACAAAAATTATTCTGGTTATTCTGGATGCCATTTCAAATATCTTCCAGGCTGATGAGAATCTAGGTGAAACTGAGAAGCTTAGTATAATGAGTGAAGAATGTGAAGGCTTGGACAAAAATGAAGTTCTACAGAACCATGAAAATAATTCTGTGTACAAGGCCTCATTAAACTTGATTGAGAAGTATTTCTCACTAGAGAAGAAGATCAAAACATTGTACCAGAAACTACCTCTGATGGCTATACCTCCCAAGTTCACAGTGGGACTTCTGGTACCTTTCACTTCTAGATTGTGCAGTTGAGGAAGGCATCAAATTTTTGTTGTGTACTATGTTCAGTATAAGTTCATCTACTGTTTTTCTACTGATAACTTTATTTAAAAATTTTTTTTCTTATTGATTTTATTGGTACATTTTAGGTATACAGTATAATTACATTCATCATTGGGATCTTGAACCTTTACAGGTCTTGGTTCTCATTTTTCCCCTTATCCCTGCTCTCCCTTCACCCGCTCCTCCCTTCCCTATTTACAAATACTTTATTTCCATTTTTTCACTTTCTCATTTTCCCCTTTTCCCTTATCATCTTTCCCCCATCCTTCCCAATTCCCCTACACCCTTAGCCCTTTTCTTCCTATTTCACATTTTCAATTGTATCATTAGGATCTTATGTACCCTTATAGGTTTTCACACCAGAGAAACTATTCAGTATATATACATGTGTGACTTATATATTTCACTTAGGAGTATACTGAGAACTCTTTTTAAATGTGGTTTGTTATTATAGCACTTTGTACAAGGAAACTATTCTTGAATACTTCCAAACTATACATACTGTATGAAGCTCATCCTCTGAAGGGGTTTCTTATGTCTATGTGAAATTCATATTTTGCAGTATCTTGTAAATAAAAATCAAATTCTACCCTTTGCTTTCCAAAAGAAAAAAAAAAGAATTAAGATCCTGATATGGGGGCAATCCCAGACAACCTGTACAAGAAGTTGCTGTCAGCACGGCAGTCCCCAGTATCTTCTTGGGGGAAGGCAACAGGTTCAAGAGAATATAAAGAAGACAGCCAACCCAGGGAGAGACTTCCTGGCACTCTTTCTAAACCAGGAGTGGCTGTTTGGACACCTCTGACTCATGAAGGGTGCCTTGTGAAATATCAGGACAATGAGGCTGCTCCTCTTATAGGAAAATGCTCTGAGCATCTCAGGGACCACTTGTATATGTGAAAATTCTCTCATTAGTTTCAGATCCTTTCATTGCCCTTTCCAATTAGATATTTTTTCAGAAATATTTTAGAAATGTTTTTGTCCTTGATTAGCTATTTTTATATCTCACTTGGAAACATGTTTAATTATACTTGTTTAGTATTTATATTTAAAACCCATACAGAAAGTAGGCATCTTTATGAAAAATCTGTGATCACAGAACTGCAAACCCTAGTATGCCCTCTTATGTTGCAGAACTGAGAACAAGTAAAAAATTGCTAGACCCTTCAGGTGTTTATTATTTAAATTCAGCCTACCTCAGTTGTTGAGTTTTAGTTGACCAGAACCTTGCTGTGAGGAGACAAGTACAAATCAGCTTCCTGGAGTCCAGGAAATTCAGTTCCTCCTTGCCTTACCCCATCCCATTCTGCCCAGTTTTAATGGCCTTGGGCTCTGGTATGACAAAAGATTCTGTCAGTCTGATGTTGTATTTGATTTGTCACTAATGCTTTGTTTCTTTCATAGAAGAAACCAGACATTCCCAAAGTAGAGAAACTCTTTCGTCAGAAGATAAATGGAAGGTGTTAGTGCTGACAGGAAATACAGGAACTCAGGCCAGTGTCACACTCTGGGTGTATGGAGATGAAGGAGTCACTGGACCAGTAAGTCTTAACAAGGACAGCCCAGAGCAGCTCTTCCTTCCAAGACAGGAGGATGAATTTCAGGTAAACAAAATTGACTGTAATGTTCTTTGAGCACCACAAAGGCACTTCTATAAAACAGGAGTGTGATTTTTATGAGTGGACATGTATATGTGTGTCCTGTATAAAATAAATCTAGTGTTTTAGAACCTAAACTTAGTTACCTTAATACCTACTGCAATAATCAAAGGGAATTTTTTGCTCACATATCATGTGAACAAGGAAAGTTGTTGAAAAAATTGCTTTCTTTAAAGATAATTTGTTTTAGTCCATTGATTTGAAAGTGACCTTATAAACTGTCAACTTCAACTCAAATTATAACCATATTATACGCCACCTAGGGGGAACTTTTTGATAAGGAACACCCATCTTTTGTACACTTGTATAAACTTCCAGATGTTTCTTAGCAGAGCTGTATGGATGTGAAATCATTTTCTTGGCATCTTTATAGGCCACTTTCTGAAACTTTGCCCATGCCCATTCTAATTTTTCTCTCTTTTATTTCTTAGTGTTGGAGAACACTGGGCTGCTTTGTTTGAAATACAGCTGGTTGCTTTGTCTAGTTCTTCAGAGCTTCGACAGATTTCAATTAGGACAATTACTTTCTACTTCACTGATTCACAACCCCCTGTGGCATGAAAGCTGCATAGGTTTTGGAGTACTGTTAAGCGGCAGTCATTCTCTCTGGAGAGTATTCCCTTTGCATCCTAAGGCTGGCTAGAGGATGTAGAATAATTGAATCCATCCCAAGTCACGAGGAAGCCAAGGCTTTTGGGGGCTGCAGTATCTGCGATTCACTAATACTGAAATGGTTTCTAAATCTTCATATCTGAGTTTTTCTGTTTTTGCAGTTATTAAATTTTTAGTAAAGAAAAACATATAGTATGTGTATTTGAAGGTGATTGTTTAGAATGCGGATATTTTGATAAGATACCCCAGGCCATTTCACAGAAAGTTATTTCCTATAATATACCTTGTGGTATATGTATTTATGTGCTGGTAAATCCTTTCAATGTTTTTCTGAAAAAACTTACTGAGGTTGACTCTTAGAATGAATGATATAGCTTATTATGATTGTACATTGGAACCATCTGAGGAGCTTTAAAAACTACTGATGACTGGTCCCATTTCCAGAGACTCTATCTTGTCAGGGTATACAGCCTGGACATTGATGTTTTTTAAAGTTCCACAAATGATTCTACAATGCAGTTAAGATTGAGAATCCTAGTTACAACACTTGACTGAAGTCAGCTGTTATTAGTGCTGTTACTTTGAGTAAACTGCTTATCCTCACAAATCTTCAGTTTCCTTCTTAGATCAAACGGTAATATTTACTTTAAAGTCTTGCCAGACGTTACTGGAATTTACACTCTTTTGGACTTCAAGCTAAAAGCATGGATGTCACTTGGAACAATTCCAGAATCTCAGGCCCTATCTTAGACCCACTGGACCAGAATCTGAATTTATTTGCACAGGGTACCAAGGTGATTGTGTATACGCTAATGTTTGAGAGGTACTGGACTAGGGATTATGAGGCATTGGGACTGGGACCACTTTATAGTCTAAGGACCCTAAATTATGATTAAATAGCTCTTTTCTACTCTCTCCCCTCTGTGAGTACCCATTCCCTTTTTTTCCTTTTTATTAGCATAATTTACACTTCTGGGCCATTTATTTCCATTTTTCCTTTCTGTTTTGAAGCAAACATACTGTATTTCTGTTTTGAGAGACAGTGTAGTGTATATGATTACAAACTTGAGATCACATTTTGCTCTTGGAGCTTACTATGCATCCAGCTATGTATCATTACACATACTACTTAATCTCTTTGGGTTTCTCCATTTCAAATAGACTCTTAAAGGAGCCTTAGTCTCTGCAAGGTTGGTATGCAACTGGAAAAAAGCCGTGCAAGTCAAGCACTTGTATCCTGCCTGGCACAGAGCCAATGGCTCTACATGGTAGTTCCATTGTCCCAAACTAAAAGACAGCCAGGCATGAAGTCACATAAGCTTTCCTGCTCAGATATCCCTTCATTGTTTTCACTTAGAATGTGGAAAAGGGAAAGTTTACACTGAAGTGCTAATAGATTAAAAGTTGGTTTATCTTTCAGAGTGAAACCAGACCCAAAATGTGCGATAACTCCCTACTTGCTCTGATGAGAAGAGCTAGCCTCCAATTTCTACCTTTGAAAGCAGCTGCAGGAATAGGAAGGTTAGAAAGAATTGGCTAGGGGTTGGGAATTTAGCTCAGTGACACTGTGCCTGCCTTGGGAGCACAAGGTCCTGAGTTTGATCTCTGGTACCAAAAAGAAAAGAAAAAAATGTCTGTGAGGTATTAACATTTTTCTTTGCTTCCTTATTCATTGCCATCATAATCCCTCTTGACTGGTGCTGTAATAGGCCCAGGGATATTCTAGCTGCTACAGTGTATAGGGGAAAGGTGATGGGCAGTTAAAATAAATCTCAGAGCATGTTATATGAGTATGAAAAGGGGAGTCATAATGGCTTCTGGATTGCTTGACTGTTCCAGCTCTTTTAGGATCTAGGCCATAGGTAGGCAATGGTATAACCTATAAGTCTTCAGCCTGTAGCAATAGATTGTTACCTGTAATACAAATAATAATGATAGTTGTTATTAGTTAAGCCACTAAATACTGTGATATAGTACATTTTAAATCCTTGCAGTTCAGTATTCTGAATATATTATACTGAAAATACCTGCTTATTGATCTATCTCCCTTTGTAGGTATACATTTCTCCAAATCAGGAACTGCATCATCATTTTTATCTATGTCCTTGTACATTAGTCGCTAATAAACATTTACTAGCTGAAATGAAATTTTATGCAGCAGAATTATATCCATTCAATAGATAAAACAGTGATGCTCAGAGATGTAAAACATCGTATTTTATTCATTTTACAACAGGCAGCATTTCAGTTTAGTTCAAAATAATTCTAAAGCTACTTTTCTACAGTATGATCTGGATTAATGAATACTCTTGGATCATGTCAGTAATAACCAAGTACACATACTCTGTGGACAGACTTGTTTCTCTTAAACTTAGAACATCCATTTTTAGCCTAAAATTCAAAGAATTTTCAAAGTAGACAGAAGTTCTAGACTCATAGGTACTTTCCATGAACTTGTAGAAATTGCTGTATATTTAGATTTTCTTTAGTTAAAATTGATTTTTTCCCTTCTTAAAATAAGAGCCCATCTTTTTGTCATGGGAATTCAGAAAGTGTTGGCTTCCAGTGAGAAATGTGTGGTAGTTAGAGAACTGAGCATATGCGTGTTCTTTATCCTTCCTATTCTTTCGTCTGACTCCTTCTACATATTTTTGGTAATTGCATGATATTTTTGTTTCGTATTCTGTGTTTATGAGATTCACTGATAGCTTCTTGAGAGGACTTTATCTCTAGATTCTGAAAGGATCCCAGAAAGCTTTTCAACTATTAGGAACAACAACAACAACAAAATGTGTTTAGTATGAAGAAGAGAAAAAATATTTGATATACCAAATTTGCAACATTCTGTTAATTTTTCTCTTCTGCGTCTTATTCAGGTTGAAATAAAAAACATTGGAGAGATATACAAGATAAGGATAGGAACAAGTGGAAGACCTGAATGGAGCCTACAGAGGGTAATCATATTTCTTATTTTTGTACTTCGTAGTTATTCTGGAATGAAAAGAAGCAAGCAGGTCATGTAAAGCAATGAGAAGTATAACATGTTTTACTAAATTCCACAAGTAATGTGAACAAAATTTTTTCAGCCTAAAAATGGCTCATTTTTATAAAAGTTTTTAAAAATAGCATTCTACTGTGATATTTTCAAAAGTAAACATTTTTCATGGGAAAAGTCTGAAGAACACAATGAAGAATAAGAATAAAAATGTGTTGTTACTGGTCTTAGATGATAACACTCGCGATTCATTTTCTTCAGATCTTTTCTCAATCTCTGTCATGTGCACTTGTGTAGTTTCTTTAACTATATATGTATATATATTTTGTGTATATAAATATTTATGTAAAGCATGTATTTATCATAAATAAATTATGTATAAAATATGTATTTTGCTCTACAGTTTCTTTAACTATATATGTATATATATTTTGTGTATATAAAATATTTATGTAAAGCATGTATTTATCATAAATAAATTATGTATAAAATATGTATTTTGCTCTTTTACTGAAATTCAGTCATGCTATGTATACACTTTGGGATCTTTTTTTTTTTTCCTCATTGAGTTTATTGGTACATTTTAGGTACACAGCACAGTTACATTCATTATTGGGGTCTTGTACCTTTACATGACAGGTCTTGGTTCTCATTTTTTCCCCCATCTCTACCCTTCCTTCACCTGCTCCTCCACTCCCCCTTTACAAACACTTCATTTCCATTTTTTCATTTTCTCATATTTTTTTTGTTTTCCCTTATTCTCTTTTCCCTACCCTTCCCACTTTCCCTACACCTTTAGCCTCTTTCTTCCTAAGGGGTCCTATTTTTAAATTTTTCACTTAATTATGGCAATAATAGTGTGTGTTGAGTGCCCACAAGATCCCAGCTGCCTCTGAAAATAATATTGTATTTTTGCCTAACAACAACTCTTTGATTTAGGTAATATTAATATCCCTATTTTATAGATGAGACTATTGAGGCTCAGTAAAGTTAAATAATTTTACTAAGTACATTTAGTACATAGTTTTATTGTGTATATCGTACTCCAGAGACTGAAATCTTCAGCATTGTAATTTAGGCTAAAATTTGTTTAAAAATAGATGGGAAATAAACTCTTAGAGGTCTTGAGATTTCCCAGGGGAAAAAGTAGATTATAATAGAGTAAAATGACATAGTTTGCATTATAGAGCATCCTGGTTTTCTAGCTCTAAGTACTATGTCTTTCATTGATTTCTTTCAAGTACGTACATTATTTTAAAATGTTTTATGTTTAAAATTTTAGATTAAAATGATAGAATCTAATAAAATGTTTTAAGTATTTCATAATATCTCTGCTTTTATTGTTGTATCTTTGGTTGTATAATGAAATCAAATCAGAAAATTATCTTTAGCATATACATGGTATGATGAAATGTACTCTTATAGTACAGGAAGTAATGAATACATTCCAATAAGTTGGTCAGGAAGTATTCTCAGTACCTAATATTTGCCCTGTATTGTGCTAGATGCAGTAGAGAATGGGAATAAATCATACACACTGAAATACTTAAGAAATAAGACAGTGAATGACCTTTTAAAATGATCCAATAACCGTGGAACCTCCAAAGTTTTAGTAAAATTATGACTTGTAAAACCAACCTGAATGCATAGCGAGACACTGACTCAAGAAATAAAATAAACAAACAAACAAAATTTTACTAAATTTGTCTCTCTCTACTTGTAAATTGCTAGGAAAGACAAACATTTTAGAAAAACACCAGGAATTAGGTCAGCCTGTAGTCAATAGTCACTAGTACAGACTGTTCTTTCTCAAGGACTTTTGAGTCAGAAGAGTGTGTTTTAGCACATTTTCTGTTACTATAACAAAATAGCTACCTCTGGGTAATCTTTGAAGGAAATAAATCTATTTAGTTTAGCTTCCAGAGGATGTAAGTGCAAGGGAGGTGTCATGTACTCCTCTGCTTAGTGATGAAGGCTTACGTGAAGAGCAAAGTATGTAGGACATTAATTAACAGATGAATTGAGTGACTAGATTAAGCAATGTTAAAGGGATACTAAGTAATGTTAAAGGTACATTTCCTACAGTTTAATTTGTTTTTTATTTTGAAGTGTTTTCAAATTTATTTTTAAAAGTACAAGATTGAAGAACTTTGTTTTCACCTACATTCCCTAGTTGCTCCTAGATTCCTCATTTACATCATTATTCTCTGTTAAAATATATGTAAGTATATGTGTATGTTAATCATTTGAGAGATTTACTGACATGAAGCCTAATAATGTTTTAGCCATATCTTATTCATCATAAAATTTTTACCCATTAATTTTAGCATCCATTGATGATTCTTGCCTGAACCACTAAATACTCTAATGGTTACCACATTATGGTTTTCAGATTCTGTTGTTACTTGTTCACTTATTGTCAGTTTAATACAAAGTAGAACTTTCTCTTCTCCTTGCTTAAAAATGTCATTTATATATTTACACCATTTGCTTTCTGTATATTTGGATTCTGCACTGTGGATTCAACCAACAACAGATGGAAAATATATTATTTAAATTGTGTCTAAACCAGGCATGTGGTGCATGTCTATAATCCCAGCAGTGGGGAGGCTGAAGCAGGAGGACTGCCATGAATTTGAAGCCAGTTTGAGATACATAGTGAATTCAAAACCAACCCAAACTGCATAGCGAGACCCTGACTCAAAAAATAAAATAAAAAACAAACAAAATATCCCATTTATACTGAAGAGGTACATAATTCTCTGAAAATATATAGTAAAACTTGTTTATGTGGCAATGTATTAGTTATATTAGTTATTATAAATTACCTGGAGATAATTTAAACTCTATAGAAATATGAAAATACTATGATGCCATTTTATATAAGGAAGTTGAATTATCTATGGACTGAGGGATGGCTAAATTAGCATTTACTTACAGATTCTTATTTTATTTGATAGGTTTACTGTGGTATTATGATTTATTTTGATGATTAAATCATCTCTGCTTTAGCCCTTTAAGCTCCTATACATGTTTATCCTGTGAGTGGTTCATTACTTTCTCACACTGAAAAAAGATTTTTCAGGTTTATTTAATACTTTATTTTCTCTACCTCTGGAATCAGCTATATTTCAAGAAGCTCTAGTGAAGAATGGTGATTTGAAGAAAACAGTGTTTATGTGAGACATACGGAGAAGTTATTTTCCCCTCTATGCTATTTGCCACCTACCTCATCCCCGATACCACTTCCCTTGATGTGATAGTTTGGCCATGCCACCTGCTTTCACAGGATGCACCCAATGAATGTTTCCATGGTGAAGTGAAATACCAACTTTTTTATTCCTCTCTTGGAGAGTCATAATATAGTAAAGACTCTGGGATCTCCCAGAATAAAGACATCTCTTTAAAACATTTCCAAAGTGAATCATACCACTAGACATATTTTTCAGGTCCAATCTATTAACGTCCTATGACATGAATACTATACATTATTGTAAGGGATACAGGTTTTGGGGGGCTAATGTAGGGAAAAGATATGACCATGGGACAGAGGCGGTGATACACACAAGTTTTACTGGGTGATACTTGCACAAGTTTGTATATAGTTAAATTCCTCCTGGCAGGTGCCTGTCCAGAGGCTTTAGTGCAGGGAATGTTCAGGTGAGGTAGAGGGCAAGGGAACTCCCTGGAGGTCTGAGAGGTATCTCTGTGCATACAGCAGGAGTGGTGAGTGATTGTCAGAAAGCTCTGAAAGCCTGATGCAGCAGCTAAGGCCTAGTAATGACAAGACCCTGTCTTCTGAGTATAAACAGTGGTGGGGTGAGGTTTTTGTGTGTAGTGCGGAGAGCGTCTCGAAATGGCCAAAGATTTGCTTGTTGGGTCTATGTTTTTATTGTGATAAAAATTTGAGCTGTTATTGTATGTGTAAAATTTTGGTAGCCATGCATTTTTGTCCTAATGGGTTTTAGCCTGCATTAAGAAAATAAACAATGTAGTGGCCAATATATAGAGGCCATTTTTAGTCTTTAACTCATTCATGTAACAATTATATACTGGGAAAAAACAATTTATGTCTGTATGAATGTAATAATTATTAACATTATATAAGGGTTTATAATCTACATGATTTAGAAAATGACTAGCTACTCTGCTAATCCATTCTTTGGAACTCCCCAAGACTGTGCAAAGTTCTGGGAGAGGTGAGCTTTTATGAGATTACAAAAAAAAAGAGGGAAACTGCAAGGTAGGTAAATTGTTGGCTTATGATGGTACATCTAAGGAAAGGTGATGCATTAACCATACATCTGGCCTTAGCCATTGCAGTGATACAACATTAGAATAAATTTTGGTCTTTCCTTTGCTTCTGGGTAGAGAAACAAGATTGAGTAGCAAACACATAGAAATTAGAGTGTAAGTAAAGACACAAGTGAATGTTCAAGCCCTAATAGCAGTAGGTTAACAATAAGAAAGGTGAGAGTATTTTCTAGAAGAACTGGGAAGGCTCTGTAGAAGAAAAGAAGCTTGAAGAGTGGAGAGGTGTGAGTGAGAGCAAAACTGGGAGACATGGTGAGTGGAATGTTTTTTGGAGATTACCTACTTTAGTTACCAGGGATGCATGTAGGTTGTCGTGAAATACTGTGTAGCCATAAATATGGAAAATGATGTTTGTTTGCCGATGAGAGAAAGTGTCTATGTAAAATAGTTTTATTGTATTTGGGTGGTCTTTAAAACAGAGTGGAATTTGTCAGTCACAAGCTGCTTGTCCTTGTTTACATAAATTCAGTTGATAAATACAGAAACTTGAAGATCTTTCATCACCATTTCTTGCATCCCTATTCAAGTGTGTAGAAAGAATTCTGTATAGATCACAACCATGTTTGAAAAGCCTTTGTCTCTGTACTCAGATTTTTCACAGTTACATTGGAAATTTATCGGTCGGCTAAGCAAGGTTTTATTCCT